ACAAGAGCTAGCTCCTCAAAGTCCTGGAAACAAACCTTACTTCCAAAATTCCTTAGAAACTTATGCTGTCCCTAACCCCCTCCTAACCTGAAGATATATTACCAGTCACTCTTCACAACTCCAGTGCAGCTCTTTCTGCCCATGGGTCCTGTCCCCATGCTTTAATGAAATCACCTTTTTGCACCAAGGACATCTTCAAGAATTCTTTCCTGGCCATCAGCTCTGAACCACACCGTCACCCCAAAACCCCATCAGTTCTACCATTTAATCTCTTATCTTTTTCTTAATTTCTGTCCAAATGCCCACTCTTTATATCAGGTGCCCATTATTTCTCCTCACTAGTGCAAGAACTACCTAACCAGTACGTCTGCCTCCATTCTTGGCCTGCACAACTGCCCACGCTTAATTTTCTTTTGTTCCAACACTATTATCTTCTAATAGCTCTCCTACTCAGCTTCTGAAGTATACCCAAGGCCAAACTTGACTTAAGAGCCCTGTTACCACCTATTTTACTCTGCTGTTTTCCATCTGTCTTTTTGCTCCTTATTGGAGAACTCAAATTTATCTTCCAGTGGCCTATACCATTTTCACTTTTCTATAGTTCTCTTTTGTTCTTCAACTGTCTCTTCATTATGGTGTCATAGCCTGATTTATCGATTTCTTATCCCTATGAGGATACTAACAATACATTTAAAAATTTTTTTTTAATGATTATTTTTGAGACAGAGTGCGAGTGGGGGAGGGGCAGAGAGAGAGGGAGACACAGAATCCAAATCAGGCCCCAGGCTCTGAGCTGGCAGAACAGAGGCGGACGCAGGGCTCAGACCCAGGAACCATGAGATCATGACCTGAGCCAAAATCAGACGCTTAACCAACTGAGCCACCCAAGTGCCCCTAACAGTACATTTTTAAAGTTTTCTTCTTCCTGAATAGCCTCTTATTCCTCTCAGCTGCTTTTTGCTATTAATTTAGTCTCCATCTATCATATTGGAAGTTTCCTGGTGGTCCTCAACTATTCACTCATACTTAAGCATACATAACTAAAAAACCAGAGTTAAGTGCTGTAATGTAGATGGAACTTGTTTCCTGAGAGCTTCACCGTGGGGTGATCTGGCTGGGCTGTTAGCTGGGAACACATGGCATCAGCATCTGTAGGTCATTCTTTCCAGCTGATCAAATTCTCTAAAGAGAAAATCCTTCCAGACCAAGCTGAAAGTGTTCTGGGAGTCAAATAGGGGAGCACAGACAGAAGTATTCTATTTGCTTTATTCAATCCCCTTGGCACACTATACGTCTTAGTTTGGGTTTCCTAAGAAGCAGACCCCGGGACAAGAATTTGAGTGCAAGTAGTTTATGTGGGAGGTGATCCAGGAAAGAATGGTAGTAGAGTAGGAAAGTGAGTCAGGAGGCAAAGAAAGCCAAAAAAATGGATTATCAAGGAAGTTAGCCCTGTGTGTAACTGGATCTGATCCCGCTGGAGAATTCTGGAGGCCAGGGTAAAACACATGCTGCGGAGTTATCCTACCCAAGGGATGAGGAAGATGGGATATTTATATACTAACTTTCGTCAGTCCTTGGTTAAGGCATGCTCCTGGAGCCTGTACGCCGGCCTGCCACATGCACAGCAAGGCAGCCTCTGGTGGCCAGAAAAAGCCCTCCGGCAAAAGAAATGCAGATGATAGCTGATGGAAGTCCAGGCAGCATGGTGTAATGGATTGCTAAGGGGAAGGGGGAGCTTTTTCAATAGTTCTATTTTGCTAGATATGCATTCTATATGTCCTAACTGAACTTCTTTTCTATGTAGGGGGTATCTTAGTGGCTGTTTTTCTTAGGTGTCATTTGAAGCTCAAGTCTGGTTTTTAGACTACACTAAATGATGGCAGTGAAGCAATAATGGAAGACCAAGTGATGTTTTTTCCCCAGGGGTCAATGTTAAAGATCCAAAGAAGCAGGCTACTGGGCACTTGCTAAAGGACCTGGAGGAAGCCTTCCTGCTCCCTTATTTCTTTGAAGTCTCAGCTCAGGGGCAGATATGCAACTCTATTTTTTTTTAAGCTCTGAGGGGCTTGCAAGTCCCCAAACTTCCAAATAGTGCTAAGCCAGTCTCTCCACCGAGAATTCCACAGATGTCTGGGGGCATCTTCCAAGCTACTTTCCTGTCCATTCACCATCCCACCCCTGCTTCCTCACCCACACACACATCTAGGAGCCGGACAGGTGCACAGCAGAGCAGCCCTTATGGCAGTCCCCTGAGCCGTGACTTCCAAAGAATTCAAGGCCTCATTCAAACCCAACCATCCACAGGCCCAGCAGCCCGTTGCTTGAGAAAGGCAGATAAAGTGGAGTTTGGAATTAAGACAAAGGGAGATGCTGGGGTTCTTATGTTATAATACTGATACAATTTTAAAATAATTGAGCCAATCAAAACCTTTACGGTTTTAAAATATGCTATCTCATTTAGTCTTTCTAACTACATGGGATAGGCAAAGAGATTAATGAGGCTTATAGAGATTAAATGATTAAATGACAGTATGAAATGGAGCCAGGACTAGAATTCAGTTCTTCTGAACTCAGGAATTCTGCTTTAGGGAGAATGACACAATAATAATTACTATTAATGTCTCTGCAGCATGTTATAGTATAATATTTTTTTAAATGCAATAATCCTTACAACAAAACAAGTTGTCATCAAATTCTTTTAAAAAAATATGTAATATGCTTACTGACCTTCTTTTAAATTAAATGAGATTAAGTTGGGAATGCACGCTGGTGCAGCCACTCTGGGAAACAGTATGGAGGTTCCTCAAAAAACTAAAAATAAAACTACCCTAATTACACTACTAGGCATTTATCCATGGGATACAGGTGTGCTGTTTTGAAGGGACATATGCACTCCCATATTTATAGCAGCACTATCAACAATAGCCAAAGTATGGAAAGAGCCCAAATGTCCATCAATGGATGAATGGATAAAGAAGAAGTGGTATATATATATATATATACATATATATATACACATACATACAATGGAGTACTACTCAGCAATCAAAAAGAATGAAATCTTGCCATTTGCAACTACGTGGATGGAACTGGAGAGTATTATGCTAAGTGAAATTAGTCAAAGACAAAAATCATATGATGTCACTCATATGAGGACTTTAAGAGACAAAACAGATGAACATAAGGGAAGGGAAACAAAAATAATATAAAAACAGGGAGGGGGACAAAACAGCAGAGACTCATGGAGAACAAACTGAGGGTTACTGGAGGGGTTGTGGAAGGGGAGATGGGCTAAATGGGTAAGGGGCACTAAGGAATCTAC